TAAATACATGTTACTTTGCAAATTGCAAGACCTAAAGGGCACTGGAGTAAATAACAGTTATTTGACGGTCGCTAATATGTACATATAACAGGTTATGGATACAAGGTCCTCCGTATATCGAAGCCAAATTATTCAGCTGGGTTAAATATCTGAAACATAAGAAAATATTTGTATCAGAAAATTGAATTTGCAGGGAGGATAGTTATTATCACATTAATCCAGAAAAATTTACAACTTACCTTGTTCAATTCATACAAGCTGCACAACAGCAGCCACTCTTAAGGCCCCATTTTGGAGAAGATCAGCAAGCTCATCAAATAACAGAGCTGTTCGCCAGCCCCAGCCCTTTGGAGCTTTCGGTAAAAGCGTTCCTGTTTGCTTGAAACTTCCAAACACCATGACTTCCCTCTTTGATGGACAGATTAACTACATCATAAACGTACATGAACTACAAAATCAATATGCCAGATTCTGGTGTAACAAACACTGATTACATGAGAATTGGTGAAACTGAGAACATTTTGTTCACTTTGGATCTTACCTGATACCGGGCAGTAACCTTTTCACGAGAATCGACATACATCTGCACCTGTGTCGGGCACACCGTAATGTATCAACTAACAACTTCTACTAGGGATTATAAATGCAAATAAACATACTAGACAGAAACAAGGTGAAACTGAAAGGGTGATCATTGAAATGTGAAGATAAGAAGAAACATTATTCTCCACAACTAAAATAACCCATCTCATGCTCAAACAATCAAGAGCAGGCTAACCTTTCTAAATGAATCAGTAATCTCTGCCTTACGCCGGTGAAGAAATAATCCTGAAATAATAAACACATGATATACGTTCAGCTTAAGGAAACATATTTCAAATAAAACTTGGGAAAGCAAAATAACATGTTTCCAAGGTATATCATTGAACAGCTAAGAACAGTACCAAGTGTTCGACGTCCTTGAGGGTCTTCATCATTAAAAGCCTGAACGCTAACCTATAAATTTGAACAACAAAATCCAATCTGTATGAGAGCATGGAAAATGGAGATCAAAAAGCATCGTCACAAATCTAAATCTTATATTGAAAAGAACAATAAGTTTATACTGAAACACCTTCCATAAAGAACCAGCATAAAAGACTTCTGGAGAGTGCTTCACTTGGCCATCACTGAGCCTGTGCACATCCTCAAATTGCACCCTGTAGAACCAGGATCGAGAACTTAAGAGAAAAGGTAAACTAGAGACCAAAAAAAAAACCTTGACTTGTAAATAGTAGGATGGAGAATTGAACAAAATGACCAATCATTAGATCCATGACACTCGGACAAATTATCCAGTCCCACGAAAAAAGGCTTAGTATAAATAGATTTTCAAAGGCACTTGTAAGCAACTTGTAAAGGAGACTTCTGAGCTAGGAGATCATAGGACAGCATCCTAAAAAAATTTATGGATTCTTATTTTTCAAAAGAGAGCTCAAAATCTGAAGCAAAGCTGTAAAGGATTAATGGAAAGAGCTCACGTACCCAAAGCGGAAAGGAGGGAAGTGGCTTAAAGGTGTTTTCAAATCCAATGATATGGAAGAACTGTTTGGATTATCCCACTCAATCCCAATTGCACGGTCTGACGACTCTACCATCTGCACAGGTATGCCACTCGTACTTGGCACTGCCATGGAAGTTCCAGGCATTCGGCTTTGCACATCCATCTCATAGGCTCTCTCTGTTTGCTCCCCATGAGCATTAGCTACATTGTTCCCTCCTTGGCTTAGCCCAACCAAAGCAGTCAATCCATCTCCAGACAGGTCCCCACTATGGTCAGCTCTAGCCTCTGAATCATCATTTGCAAGAGACTGCTGGCAATTTCTGTTGCCCATGCCAAATGGCACACGGGAAAAGACAAACCGAGTTGGAGGCCAGGCAGTTGCTGGGACAAATGTAGTTCCGCGTCCAATACCAGCAAGCCCATCAATAGGACCCCTAACATGCACACGTACAGGCCTAAAGAGGCCATTTCCTTCACCTGGAGCAGACTCAGCAACATACACGCCAGGAGAATTATTCTGATTGTGCTCTTGCATGTAATATCCAGTGGTAACTCCATGTGAGAATGAAAATTGCTGTCTGCAAGTACATGCTAAACTTGTAAGACAGCAACTTTTGCATGTATCAGCACCAGTTTCTTGAACTCTCTGGCTTAACAGCATCTATATGATCACATTCCAAACAAACAAGTTATTGAATAAACAGCGATTTTTCTTTGGTAAGTAATAAATAAATGAAAATTAAAAATACAACAATCTCTTCAAAAGCATAACCGCAAGGCAACACTTTGTGTATGAATGTGGTAGAAAGAGCTTTCCAAATTTCTCATGGTGGGAGTGGGCGGAGAGCCCTTGCAGTCAGTCTGCAAGGGCCTATAATTGATTTATCAGCAGTATGGTTTATAAGAGATAGAATAGTAAAAGCAAGAAAAACTTAAAAAGAAAACAGTAAACAGAAAGAGACCTGCAACCAAAGACCATCATTTACAGCTTTGCAGGGGAATCCCAATTCCTCGAGTTGCTTTCTTACACTAAGAAGTGCCTCAAAAGACATGTTGCAGTATAAAAGAGAACCCCCTTCAAATATATTAACAAATGCATCATATTCCTCACCACCAACCCCAAAGTTCCCTTTAGCATAACCTTTAAGCTGTCTTCTGCCTACAGTTCTGCCACCCCATGAAAGAGGAGGCATGCCACATCTTCCCCAATCATTTGGCATTAGCTCACTAGTGGAAGAGTTCATTGAAGAGCATTGCCTTGACTGATCCCTGGCAAGCCAACTATTGTTGTTTAAGTGATAGCATGATCCTTCATCAGATGGCCCTTCCATAGCAACTCCATTTGCCCCCAATCTACTTGCTCCAACACCAACTGGCATTTCAGTATAACATGAAGTTCTAATTACATCCATTTCTGAAAATGAATTACTCAATGATGAAGGACCACCCATGCTGCAGTTGCATCCTGGCTCCAAATTGGACTGAGGGTATGCAACTTGTTGTACTTGCTGTTTGGAATTTGAAACTCCTGTTTGGAAGTCAACCACACAGTCTGCAAGCTCTATCAGAAGATTACGAGCGGTATTATGGCCCTCTAAATCATCTTTTAGAGTTAAGCGCCCCAGTTCAGACTCCAACCGTTTATTAGTGAAACTACCCATCAGATTCTTTCCCTTTGCATTAGATGAATCAGATTGAGTATCTGTTCCTGCCTCAGAACTGGAACTTCCATGATCATAATCTTCTTGTTTGCATTGAGCACCTTTTGCAAGGAATGTATACAATGCCAGTTCAAACCTTTTCATAGAAGAAGAAAAAAAAAATTAATAGGAACTAAGCTCTGGACAATAAAACCTAGTCAGAGGCTGTCGATACTCCTTACCGTTTCTCTTCACTGGGTACCCAGAGCTCATCAGAGGTCAGCAATGCAAGCAAGGTTTGGGCAGAAAGTTTTGGAAGCACCTGTCCATGACCAGGAAATTAAAAAAAATGTAGACAGTAGGTTTGCACGAACAAAATTGAAAAACTAAAAGTATACTTAATCCTCATAAAAATCAAATATACTGACAACACAGATGCCAAGAGAAAAAAAAAATTGAACTACACAGTCGTTATTAAATTTAAAGATTGAGCTTAAACCATGTTTTTTTCAAAGGCTGTGGGCAAGGATAAATATGTCTATATTAAAAAGTGCGAAAAATAGGTATGTTTCCTCGGTCCACTGCTCTGTCCTTCCCTCTAATATTTTCTTATGTTATCATATTATGTGTCCCAAAGGAACAGAGAATA